ACACGAAAAGCTATGTCAGTTTCTCTTTCATTTTTTCACCACACTCCACCGTAAATCTGCAGAAACCCAAGACCCAAATACCTGCAGAGTCGCTGCAAAACTCATCTCCTTCTCACATTTGATTTCTAGCCCAACTTGCTGACAAATCGTACGAACCAAAACAATCAACGTGGCTCCAAATTTACCATCTTCTAAACACTAACCAAACCAGAAAGACCTACTGATCTCATACTCCAGTTAAACTCCTTTCCATTCACTTCCTCAAACACGTGTCAACTCCCGAGTTCTTTCCTCAAACCCATCACGAACCAGAGCGCTGCCTTCGTGTCCACTCCAGCTCTCTTTCTCCGTGGGACCACGAGGCCAACCGACTAGAAATGAAGTTCATCACTCTGTTTTTCTCAAGAAACATCCCAGCCGCCGGAGCCACCAGGGGTGACAACTCCGCCGCTTCAAACGAACGCCTCGGTTCCATTCAAGTGGGAGGAAGCTCCAGGAAAGTCGAGGGATTGGTTGTACAGAAGCTCCAGGAAAGTCGAGGGATTGGCTGTACGAACGCCTCGTTTTCAAACGAACGCCGCTTCAACATCTTGTTGCTGTACAGAAGCAACATTTTGGCTGTAATACCCAAACCCCGCAAGCTCTCACTAATAGTTTATTAGCAAGCCTCGAGAGCTTGAACGATGGCCGAAGAAAGAGAGCGGCAGCAGCACCATCCCTTTCTCTCTCCCGCGAAAAGTGGGTAGCTAAGGCTGCTCTGACTTTCTCACCTAGGAGCGTACGGAAATGAAGCACAATGGAGAGCCCAGTTCTTTCCCTGCTACGAACAAGCTAATTAAGTTCGCTATAATCACTCTTAATGCCTGCCTGGGCTTACTCTGTTTGTACTACGAGTGTCCTTTTTGGCTGAGTCCGTGGAGATTTTACGAAGAAGCTTCCAGGTCCAATGGACTCCACCCACTTTTCGTGTTGTTGGTACCGTGTTAGTCGAGCGTGTTTCAGTCGACGACGTCAACTCCGTGGACTCGGCTAGAGGATAAGGTGTTTGAGCAGGCGCTGGTCAGTTTCTTTGAGGACTTGCTTGATCGATGGGAGAGGATCGCCGAAGAGTTTGGTAACCCAAAGACAGAGCTTTTTCGTTTTCATCCAAACCCAATCCCCCAGATTCACTTTCGCGTCATTCCGGATAAGTGCGGTGCCCCCTTTTTGCTCTCCGACATGGCTCACGTTAGCGGCCTTGTTACTGCTCAGATCCCATCTCCTGCGAATACCACGAGCACTAGTGGAAAATAGGAAGAAGATAAGTTTTCTTACAATATTTCCATTATTATTCCACTTTGACGTTGTCTGCCATGCCAAAAGAGAAAAGAGAAAGAAAAGCAAAAGAGGAAAGCAGAAAGAAAAACAATCAAGTGAGCTGCAGCACAAAAGCAAAAGACAGAGATGCAGTGGAGAGAAAAGAAGAAAAGTAAAAGATCTTCCTATTATTATGATTCCTTCTGTTTGCCAGATGAAGAGACAGAGAGAATGTAGCAGAAAAACACAAGCAAAAGCAAGGAATAAACACCCACACTGCAAAAGCAAGGAATAAACACCCCACCAAAGTGATGTGGTTTACTTTCCTTATTTTTGAATGATGTAATCTATTTTTCGTATCTTTCAGAAACATCTGTATAAACCCCATCAGAGGGTAATAATACCAACAAAAAAAACGACAAAAGCCCAAAATAAACGGGCTGTTGTGTGGAATGCGAAGGCCCATAAGCCCAAAATAGCTCCAACTAGGCGATTAAAAGTACGCCCAGTACTCCAAAATTATTCGGCAACCTGTCGCTATTAGCACCAACCAGGTGATCAAAAGTACGCCCAGTATTCCAAAATTATTTGGCAACCTGCCGCTATTACCACCAACCAGATCATCAAAAGTACGCCCAGTACTCTACAATTATTCGGCAACCCGCCGCTATTACCACAAACCAGGTGACCAAAAGTACACCCATTACTCCACAATTATTCGGCAACCCGCCGCTATTACCACCAACCATGTGATGAAATGTACAACTTGTACTCTAATTTGGCAACTAGCCATTCATGCCACCAACCAGGTGATGAAATGTACAACCCGTACTCCCTTTCATGCCACCAACCAGGTGATCAAAAGTACACCTAGTACTCCAAATTATACATGAGCATTACTCATGTCATTCATACATAAACATTCATGAGCATCACTCATGACAATCATACATAAACATTCATGACGATCGTTCATGTCAACATTCATAAGCATCACTCATGTTAACATTCATGAGCATCACTCACGACAACATCCATGAGCATCACTCATGTCAGTCAACATAAACATTCATGAGCATCACTCATGTCAATCAGCTTCAAAAGCTTCATTTACAGAGCTCTAACTTCAAAGCTTCACTTGCAAAGCTTCACCTACAAAGCTTCAGTGCATGGTATACAAATACCGCATCCGAACAACTGCCACTTCGGCCCATACATGGATTCAATTTGAAGTCTCCAGCCAACATACTCTATTGATCGAAGACTTAGGGGACTACATTATGTACCATATGTTGGGCCTCAACTGGGCCTTATGAAAAATACTTGGGGGACTTAGCCCATTACTTATGTATTGAGGAGCGAGCCCTTATTCTATAAAAGGGACTCTTTCACCTTCATTAGAGAGCACTCATGAAAAATACTTAGGGGACTTAGCCCGTTATTTATGTATTGAGGAGTGAGCCATTATTCTATAAAAGGGACTCCCTCACCACCATTAGAGAGCATCGCCGCCTACTGAGCAACCGTCTCGCCGCGAGCATCAACTCTAGCCCATCATTTATGTATTGAGGAACGAGCCCTTATTCTATAAAAATGACTCATTCACCATCATTAGAGAGCATCAACTCTAGCCCATTATTCATGTATTGAGGAGAGAACCCTTCTTCTATAAAAGAGACTCCCTCACCTTCATTAGAGAGCATCACCGCCTACTAAGCAACCACCTTACCGCGAGCATCACCTCTAGCCCATTATTCATGTATTGAGGAGCGAGCCCTTATTCTATAAAAGGGACTCTCTCACCTCTAGCCAAACAGCCTCACCTCCATCACTTCATGTTGAGCATCGCCACATGTCAAGTACCAGTTCTAGACGACATCTAGTTACTTTGGCCCACACATGGACTGAATTTCAAGTCTCCAGCCAAAAGACTCTCTTGACTGAAGACTTGGGGGACTACTGTTTATACCATATTTAGGGCCTCCGTATTTAGACCTTGTATAAATACTCGGGGGACTCAAATGTAATTATGCAATAAGTAAAGGGGCAAATATGTAATAAGTAAGGAGCCCTTATTCTATAAAAGGGACTCCTCACTCTCTTCATAGGGGGAGCCAATTTGAGGCGAAGGTTGAGGCTAAGAGAGGGCAAAACATCAAGGCCAACACAAGGCTAGAGAGAGATCCATCAAAATAGGCCTTTGGCCTCCAGAAATATAATACAATCAGTGTGGACGTAGCCCAAACCTTAGGGTGAACCACGATACATCTTGTGTCATTTACATTACTTGCAGATTCACGGTCGGATTTACGTTGTTCCAAGACCTCCGGTTTTGTGCATCAACAAATTTATTTATACTTTCATTAAGTATAACATAAGATTTTGTGGTATCCACTTGTGTAATATTTTAAATTGAAGATTGAATTCATTCATTGTATTCATATAGGGTCAAGGAGTGTAGCTGTAAAAAATCATCAAAATCGAAGTTAAAATAGTCGTTAAATCGTGATTTTTTGTTTATAACCGTCGAAAAGTTTTGTCCTGTTACTTAATCTTTGAATGTTTGTTTTTTGCGATTTTTGGCTTATGCGATCTCAAAGCATATACAAACAAGTTTGACAGTTTGATCATTGAAATTAGTTTCGTAGAATGTGTATCTCATCAAAACGATAGATTCACTAACACTTAGAGTTTATTTATACTTTCATTAAGTATAACATAAGATTTTGTGGTATCCACTTGTGTAAATAATTTAAATTGAAGATTAAATTCATTCATTGTATTCATATAGGGTCAATGAGTGTAGCTGTAAAAAATCATCAAAATCGGAGTTAAAATAACCGTTAAATTGTGATTTTCGTTTATAACCGTCAAAATTTTTTGTCCCATTACTTGATCTCTGAATGTTTGCTTTTTGTGATTTTTTTTCTGATGCGATCTCGAAGCATATACAAACAAGTTTGACAGTTTGATCGTTGAAATTAGTGTTGTAGAATTCATATCCCATCAAGTTAAATGGTATATATATATATATATATATATATTTATTAAGTAGATTTAAATTTATTTATTTAGTACATATAAGTTTATAACACTTGAAAAATAAAATGGTATGTATATTTAAACCGATCCAATGGTCACCAATTTTTAAAATTTAATTTAATATATATATATAAATAAAATTATTATAGTTTTTAGGGGTATAAAATTGTTAAATTAATACATACATATATATATATATAATTATTATAATATTTTTTTAGGGTTATAAAAGTATTAAATTAATATTTTGCTTATCGTGTATCGTGTTACCCACGTGTATACCCAAACCAACCCATCTTAACAGGTGCTTATTGGGTTACCCGATAACAACCTGATTCATTATCGTGTCGACCCGAACACCTGTTAATTTTGTGTGGTTTCATGTCGTGTTACCGAATCATGTCAGGAATTGCCAGGCCTAGTCTTAGGAAGCAAAACCAAATTGAAAAACTTCCGAGTTTGAAACTAAAGAAAGAAATGGCATTAGTGATGGTTTTCAGTTTTTTTATTTTTGATACAAGGGATTCTGCTTTAAGCTAATCTAATATGCGGCTGCAAGTAGGGTGTTTGAACTCGGGTACATAGGGATGCGCATCCGCTCTAGCCAATAGGACTACGCCTACGTTTGAATCTAATGATTTTTATCTTTGTCTGTTTGTGCTTGCAGAGTCCGAGGAGAAGAATGTGGAGGCTGAAAGTCAATGGACTCCCACGAGGAGAAAGTCGAAAATCCATTCATAGATTTTTTTTTCATTTAAATTTTTGGGTTGTGCTCAAATTTCCGTTAAATTTGTGGGTTTTTTTGGTGTGATTTTATCTGAAAGTTATGTTGCCTTGAAGGATGGTAACCCTTTTCACTCTCCTCTTTTTGTCTCTTTAAACTCTTTATGTAGATTATATTTTGTTTGATTGCAGAGTTTTTGGTGGTCAAATATTTCTCCTCTTTTGTTTGTTTGATTTCTTTCTAATATTCAAATAATTATTGTTGTTTAATCCTGATAGCACTGTTGCTGCAGCTTGAATGGATATGTACCAGAGCATAGGAGATGCTCTTGTGCATTAGTATGGTGGCTCTGCAGCTCAAAACACTCTTATGTTCTTATTTTATTCTTGGGTTAGAGCATGCATATATTATTAGTTGGTAGATGCCATAAATCAACCCCTATATTCTAAAGTGAAGTAAAAAAAGAAGGAAAACTCTATAACTCTAATCAGATGTCCACTGAATTCGGGTGTGATGGCCTAAATTTTATATGTCTGGAATTATCCACTTAACACCAATTTGTTACATTCGGGTCTCCACCCCACATTTCACAAGTTCAAATTCCATTGAAGTCAATTCTGCAGATTGTGTCTGCAATTAGATCAGAGATCAACAACTCTGTTGTTATTCTGTGGAAGATTGCTTTTGGGAAGGATCTGAAGCAGTTCATCTCTATATGTTTATTCTCTGTGTGTTTATTGCCATGTAGCTCTGTCTTCATATTTGCGAATGGTGTTATGATCGATTAGGTGATGCCTGACCTCTGACTTTGTTTGGAGCTCAAATTTTGTGAGCATTACATTTGATTGTATTGCACTTGGTTTGATGTTGTTTTGGTCGACAATGCAAGGATAGGAGAAACAAAGAGGATGACACTTATAACTGCCCCTCCCCATTGGCCATCTTCAAATTTGGATCACAAGAAGGGAGCAACATAGGTGAGAAACAAATTTCTTTGTCTACATTGCAAGAATTTGCAGTTTGCAACTTTCATTGGTTATTATATTTGATTGAGTTAAACTTGGATTTCTGGATTTTGACTTTTGTCGTTTGTTTCTCTGTTGCAGAGTTGGCTTCATTTCATTCCATTGACTCTCTAAATAGGTCCAAGAACTCACTAAATAGGTAATTGTCTTATATCTTCTTCTCTCTTTGTGTTTATATTTATATTTCCTGAGTTGTGTTCGAATATGACCCTGGTTGGTCATTTATATCTGTGTGTGAATTTTGCAGTGAAATTAAGGAGAGGATTGAGAAGACCAAGTAAAGAAGAGATGTGGTTTTGCAATCTATGACAGCGGCTATGACAAAGCTTTTCATAGTGGTCAGGATGGTAATGGTTTAAAAATGTCTAATTTTATTCACATATGTATTCTTTTTCATGTGCATAAGCAAATGTACATGCATAGGCATGGTGTGTGCGTTTTTCTTCTTTGATTTACTTTTATTTTTATTGAGATTTGGTCAATTGAAATTGATATTTTAGACTTTACTCCTTATGTGGTTTTTGGAACCCAACATGTGAAGGGTTAATTCTATTCTTAGGTTGAAGGAAAATACAGTGTATAATTTGGGAAGTGCTTTCAATTCTACTCTCATCTCTAATATGAATATAGATTACAACCCTGGCCCTGAGTAATCCAAAAGCTAAAATCACACCCTCTTAATCTAAACTTCATTGTAGACGTACTATCTTTCCCTCTTAATTGCTTCTTAGGGCTTCTTTGTTTTGATTTTCATCATCCAATTTGTTACATTTATTGTTAATTTCAGGGTACTACCAATTTCTGTTGGCTCTGATTCCACACTTCAGAAAGGTATGCCTCTAATTTATGATAAATTTTGCCAGTTTGCTTTTCTTGATTTGGAAAGGTACAACTCCAATTACTTTGTTTTCCAAAGCCATCTTAGCATCTGCATCCCCAATTGTAGAACAAAAGCTAATCCAATTGCAAATCTCAGCATCTGCATCACCAATTCACCATTATCTTTCAATTTTGAGTGCCTTTATCGAATAGAGGGTAACTTCGCAGTTTTATATCTTTGATATACAAATATCAGCACTATTTTCTTTTGTTTACTAAATATATGAATAATTTATGGTTCGTTTGAACTTTGATATATGTCAAACTTATAATACAAGTTATGGGACGTTGTTTGCAACAGAGCTGGAGGTGACAATGTGGTGGAAAAGTAAGTCCTCTTACTTTCCTCTCTACCTACCTAGCATACTACATAATCTTTCCAACTTTAACTAAAATTATATCCACAACTCATTTGTAGGCTATAAGGACTGGATATAGAGTAATGGTTTAATAATGGTTTTAAAATGGTAAATGATTGAAGAAGCAACATGGAATTCAATAGTTGATAGTTTGACTATAATTACTTTCTGACACATGTATTCAAACAATAGCATCCTATTATATATTTGTTACTATTGAGTTTAATTTCTTTCAAATTCTTCCATAAAGTGTGAGATTTTCTATTTTGTATTATCGATCACTGCTAGCCAGTAATTTATCCAGTGAGCTTTTCTTTTAGTTAAGAAAATATATTTTCGCAAGAGACCTTTGAGATAGGATTTTTTTGTTTTTATCTAATTTATCCTTCTAGATTTAGTTTATTGGGATAATTTATTAGGATACAGTATACATATAATTTAGTCAATTGGAATTTGCTCTGTGGTTTTGCTTTAAGCAAATTAAGTACAATCAGGTGCAATTGTGGCTTCTTCTTGCTCTGTGTTTGTTTATTGGGATACCTATTTGTGGTTTTCCTATAGGTCCCTAATGTGAAATGGAAAGATGTTGGCGGTCTAGAGGATGTGAAGAATTCGATTCTGGATACTGTTCAAGACTTCAGGTATGTGCTCTTTGAATCTCTAAGCCAGTAAGCCTTAAGCCTTAATATGTTCATTTTAGACTTTTTCTTTATCATGCACAAGTTTTGTTTATTGGAATTTGCTCTGTGGTTTTGTTTATTGGGATACCTATTTATGCATAAAGTCGTGTGACAGGCCTTTCTTTAAGCATGGGCATCAACACAAAAAAGGAACTGTTTCATAGTTGTAGAATACTCATCCCGAGTAATTGAATGTTTAAGTATAAGTTGCAGCAAATTGTAAAATAACGGTTTGACACTGGCGGCTTCTTAAGCAGAAGATCCTATTCAATTTCTTATCTCACTGTTGGATTTGCCATTAATTCCTTATCTCACTGTTGTATTTTCCATGGGGGTTTGGGTGCGCGATTATAGGGAGAGAAAGAGAGGGTGGATGCAGTCACTTTCTCTTTCTAATTAAATCCTTCCTTTGCCTATTCGCGTCGCTGGTTGTTGGCGTTCGTCTTCCTCCTCAAGGTAAGGACTTTTCAATCATTTTCTGAAGATTTAATTTAGGTTTTATTATTTTAGTTCGAACATTCACGGATTTATGAGCAATAGTTTCAGATCTAATGGTTTTGTTTTCAAATTTTCCTAGCTGTGTAGTTCTCCATTTTTTTTGCTTCTGAATCTGGAAAATGGATTGAAATCTTTTTTTTTATTGCTGTAGACGTAACCCATAATTTATTCTCTCATTTGGTGAATTGGGTTGTAGTTCAATTGATATTTAATCATGTAAATATGTTTGCTTTTTTGTGTTTATTTTTTCTTTGTTGATGGAGAGAGATTGCCTTTGGCTGTTAAGGAGTTGGGCACATGTGATCTTTACTCTCAGGTGAGGCTTTATTTGATTCTTATTTTTCAATCATGTTCCTTTCTTGAGAGCTATGTCTTTCAGTTCCATAATTTCTGCTGCAACCTATAAATTGGCATGTCAATTGGAAACTGAGGAGCCTAATGCAACTAAAACAAATCCATCTACATTACTTCTAAAAAATTGTAATGTTAATGATGGCTACAAAGTAAACTGTTTGAAAGCATCTATCACTTTTAATTTTGGGCCAACATACTTGAATAGAAAGACATTTTCAAAGTTATTTTTAAATGAAAATGTTCTTTCCAAAATGCTTAGCTTTTATGAAGGTAATCCCAATAAAATCCATATTTTTTATTCACTTTATTTTTTATAATTCTTATTTGTTCGCATTTCCTCATGTTCATGCAAGACAGTGTACCTTTCCAAAGACTCGATGGACGACTACCTTCATTACCTATTTAAAGGGCCACTTTGGCATCAGGGCCGGCCCAAGCCCAGTGCAAGCAGGGCAACCGTCCGGGGCCCAAAAAAATTAGGGGCACCAAAATTATTAAGGTGGTATATTTATATATGTTTTTATAAGAGTATAAATTTATAAAAATTGGTTCAAAGACATAGAAATTTAACTAGAAGTGGTGGTTTGTCATTTGAAAATAATGAGGAGGTCTTGGGTTCAAAACACCATGTGTGCTTATTTACTTTCCATTTTTTACAAATTTCTTTTCATAAGAGTATAAATTTATAAAATTTGGTTAAATGATCAAGAAGTTTAATTATAAACAATGATTTTTTATGTTTAAAATTAACAAGAGGTCCTAAGTTCGAAATGTTATGTGCATGTTTATTCTTTTCAATTTTTACAAATTTTTGTTTGGTTGTTAATTTATTTTTAGTTACTATCTAGTAGCTATGTGGGTTATTTTTAAATATTCGTTTTAATTCAAGTCTAATCTTCAACAAAGAATAATACGTAGACCAAATTTGCAAATTATATGACGTGTTATCAAAATGTTTAATTTAGTGCCCATTCATTAATAATACATATCAATTAAAGACTCGAAAACATCATTATTTTTTAGTCCCATATTGACAAGGTTAGTAAATAAGAAAAAAAAACACCTCACAATTTATTCAAAAACACATTCAAAGTTCAGATGGAAAACAAAACTCATCATCTATCTACTTGTAGGCCCGAAGTTTTTTTTGTTTCCCTCTCTCAATACAAAATAAAGTAGTCTTTTTGGTGTTTCTAAATTATTGAGTTTGAAGTGTTTTTCTAAGTATAATTTTATCAATGTCTTACGTGTGAAAATAAATAATTTTCTTACATGAAGTTAGGGCACTTTTTTTTACGTCGCCCCGGGCCTCAAAAATCTCTGGACCGGCCCTGTTTGGCATCATCCGGAGCAGGCACAATGCTACAGAATAATCCCTTGAATGATACTCAGCTCTCAGTTTCCAAGCCAACCCCATTCGATGCTGATCAGAGATACTCGTGTTTGCAGCATGATGGCTTAGTCTCTAGGCGTGAGAAGTCAATGACTCATTTGCAAGAAGATAAGCAACAACTGAGAAGATGCAGTTCTGGCGCCGAATCCCTGGGTTTTGGGTAGAAATGGAATGGAGATGATACTGAAGAAGGTTGTAAGTCAAGCCTCCCTTTCAAAAATTCCTTCTTTCCAGTATTTAGGGATTATGAAGTGATTTCACTGCTTAATATGGGATTAGGGTTACATTTTTCTTATAATAAAAATCTCTGTATGCCACCCGGAAGCTTCCCTTTCAAAGATTCCTTCTTTCCAGTATTTAGGGATTATAAACTGATTTCTCTGCTTAATTGCCGTACTTTCATTGCACGCAGATATTCTGGTATACTCACTAAGGATAAATTTATTCTTGATGCCATGCTACTTATAATTGTTCCATCCTATAATCGTCAATTATAAATTTGTTCTTATAATTGTTCCATCCTAAATATCTTCCTTTATTCTTGAAGCCATGCTACTTGCTCGACCCTTTCTTGCATCAGTTGTGTCACCTAAAATTAAAATGAAATGAAAAAGTTTCCCTACATGCTTAATGTTGTGAATGCCGGTAATGTTAGAAATTTAGTGATTGTTGCTCTTTATAAAATATCCGTACTCATGTGTTTTACAGACGCGCAGTTCAAAAGAACTGGTTGCTGCTTGGATGAGACGTGTATAATTTCATTTAAAAAAAAAAAAATTGTTTTGGTTGCTGGTGGTGGTTTATCTGTATTTGATTGTGTCTGGCTCTTGGTTTTCTTGATCTAATTTTTTTTTATTTCTATAATTAGATAAATTAAGGAAAAATTTTCTATTAGTATATGAGTATTCGATTCTGATATATCATTTTGCTCCATTTGACGTGATTTTGGATTATTAGGACTCAGGCTTGCCTTCCGCGTTTTTGTTGAGAAAAGGCTTTTAGCTAAGTAATTTACTAATTTGGTTTTGATTATCAGCTATAAGAGAATAGGGGGTTTAATTTGTAATTATTTTGATGCGGCGAAAAATTTTAGATTTTACAGATTTTTCCAGTTCAGGATGATAAAAATTTAGAGCTTTGATTTGTTGATGTGATTTCCACATACTCTGAATTCAAATAGAAATGCAAGGATAAATTAGACTTTTAGTGTTTTCAGGCATTCGCGTGTTTGCTTATTATAGATGATGTATTTCTGCAGTGCACTAATATTTCTTTTAAAAAAATTAATTAGTTTTTCCTCCCCGGTGTTTGGTAAGGCGCTTCTCAAGACGACGTTGGAACGTGGGTGATGAGGATTCAAGGGATAAGGAGGAAATGGCAAAGGAGGAGGACCAAAACGTGTTCTCTGTTAGGATAATTGGTGCCCTAAATGCCAGAAAGTCTGCACTCACCACTCATTAATTATATGGTTTGTTCCTTTGGTTTTATGGTTTAAAGGTTTTTAATTTGATGGTGTTTTTGATAAATTGTTGAATATATTGTTTGTTTAGTTATTGATTGTATTGAGTGTGGTTTATGCTTTTGGTATTAAGTAGTTTTTTCATATCCCTGAACTCCTTTTCAGGTAGAGAAACGTGAGTTATTCTAAGGTGTTTAAGTGAGTGTCAATTAGAGAGTATTTTGTTCGAATATCTGTCTGAACAAAAAATTTCTTTGGAATGAAATAAATGAAACAACTTTTGAGACTCCCACATTTGAGATGTGTATTTATGAATTCGGAATGTGGGATCTTTCTTTGTTGTTTGTTTAATGTGGATTCTCTCAGTTTATTCTTCTGTAATTTTGGTGCTTTTTCAATAACTTAAATGATAATTAGGGTTGTTTTCTTTTGTGTTTTAATTTACGATTTTACTGATTTTCACGTATTTATTATGCAATCTCTTCTTTATTTTCTCTGCAGCACAATGAATTTACGAAATTGCTCATTTTGACGAGTGGGATCGCCAGTTTCCTTCACCTTTTATGTCGCTCACCGCTTCACTGCAAATAAGATTAAACCAGATCCCTTCCAAGTTTCAACGACCGCTACCACCTGGACCTCAGCTATCCTTCTGTTGTTCCTCAAAACTTTCATATTGGTACATAAGCTCAACTCTGATTCTATTTCAAACCCAAAGATTGATTATTTTTACTCTTTTTTCTCTGTTATTTAGTAAACTTTCCCAACTATCACAAAATGATTTATAAGATTAGGAATTGATAGAACAGTAGTTGTTAAACATTGTGGCATTTGAAAATCCTTCTGTGATTAAGATGTGTATTTGTTTTAATTACAATTTAGGTGATGGAAAATTTAAATTTAATTTGTGCATGTTTCATTTTTTTCCTACCTAGCTAACAATCTGTTGCTTGGAGTTCATCCTTTTGATTGTACTCTAGCTCTTGATGTCAGCTTAATTGAATGTAAATGAAATCCAGACTGCTTATCTTATCATCTCACTTCACCCATCTCTTGGTTATTTGAATTCTCTAGAGATTCTTGTTTTGATTTGTGATTTTGTTGGATTTAGTCTGGTGAAATGTGTTTATCTGCATTGGTTCATTTTAGGGTGTGATTATGTTCGCGTCGCCTTTGTACTGCATCTTTCTGTGCAAATTATTCATGCCTATTGTGGATAATTAGTTTCAAAATCCACAGCAAAGCACATGCAATTTTTCTAGTAGGAATGAAATGTGAATTAGAGTTTGGAAATATATAAAATCATCTCCTAATGAGTTTGGAGGTTCCAAAGATGCTTACTGGAGTTTAATTTATTTGAAGTGTTGAATCAATTAAGGCCATTATAAGCTTAAACAAATAAGTTCGTATTAGACGTTGAGTTAGTTTTGGGCTTCATGACCCAATGGATTTTAAACCGGTAAGCCCATTAATTTAAGTTGTTTGTCCATTGTAACGAAAGATATTCTTCAGTTTGTATTTTCGTGCTTTTTTGGTTCTCTCTTTGCATTCTTCATTTTCTTCGACTACATATTTATGATGGTATCAAGAGCTCAGGTTCTTCATCGGTTATGAGTCTCAGTGATAATCCGGTCTAATTTTTTAATAATCTTGCTGGAATGAAATGTTTCGTGGCGGGGATTCGAGATCTTTAACAATGGCGGTGCGCAATTCAGCAGTGATCTTTAAGAATGGATGTGCGCGATTCGAGATCTTTTCCAATACGATAAGGACAGTTATTGTAGCCATGGAATCTCCTATCACTTTCAAAGAATTTCGAACACAACTTCTTAGTACTGAAAAGACTATTGAAGATTTACAAAGCTTAGTCTAATTTCTCATGTCTGACAGTCCAATTTCTCATGTTTGGGATGTATTGACATGGAGAATCATCTGCTATAAGAGCAGACGACAATTCTATTAAGTAGAATCATCAGTTGATGGAGCTCAAAGGCAGTTTTACCACGGAGAGTCTTCTATTCAAAATGGTTAGAATTTTCATGGAGGTACTGGTTTTGTGGGTTAATATCAGAGATCCAATAACAGTGGAAATAACATTCATCAAAGGAATGGAGGACAACAGTTTACCTCTAATGGAAGTATGGGTGGTTTTAATGGCTCCAGATACATTATCTATCTAAACAAAGATTAATTTGAGGTGGCAATGGTGGTTTCAATAACAGAAATAATGAAGTTTCTCTGTTTCCTTTGCCAATAACACAAAGGGGGTTCATCCTGGACAAACTGGAATGGCAACAATGGACATATGTCATATCCGACCCGGGCTCCACCACATCTCGGGCTCGACTCCGCCGTAATACGATATTGTCCGCTTTGGGCCCCAACCACGCCCTCACGGTTTTGTTTCAGGGAACTCACACGAGAACTTCCCAATGGGTCACCCATCTTGGGATTGGTCTCTTGCGATCTCGCTTAACTTCGGAGTTCCAATAGAACATGAAGCCAATGAGCTCCCAAAAGACATTGTGATATAAGAAGGAGAGCATGTACATATAAGGCATAGAGGATCATCTCCCTGGGCGATGTGGGATCTAACAATCCACCCCCTTAGTGGCCCGACGTCCTTGTCAGCACACTTCTGGCCATGGATTGGCTCTAATACCAAATTGTCACATCCCAGCCCGGGCTCAACTCCGCCGTAGCACAATATTGTATGTTTTGGGCCCCGACCACACCCTCACGGTTTTGTTTCTGTTAACTCACACGAGAACTTCCCAGTAGGTCACCCATTCTAGGATTGCTCTCACATGATCTCGCTTAACTTCGGAGTTCCGATGGAACCAATTAGAATGGCAATAATGGACATATGTCACATTCTAACCCGGGCTCCACCACATCCCAGGCTCGATTCCGCCGTAGCATGATATTGTCTGCTTTGGGCCCCGACCACGCCCTCACGATTTTATTTCTGGGAACTCACACGAGAACTTCCCAGTGGATCACCCATCCTAGGATTACTCTCGCGCGATCTCGCTTAAATTCGGAGTTCTAATGGAACCCGAAGCCAGTAAGTTCCCAAAAAGCCTCATGATATAGGGAGGGGAGCATGTACATATAAGGCATAGAGGATCCTCTTCCCTTGGCGATGTGGGATCTAACAATCCACCCCTCTTAGTGGCTCGATGTCCTCGTCAGTACACTTCCGGCCAGGAATTGGCTCTGATACCAAATTGTCGCATCCCAGCCCGGGCTCCACCCCATCCCAAGCTCCGCTCTGTCGTAGCACAATTTGTCCGCTTTGGGCCCCAACCATGCCCTCATGGTTTTGTTTCTGGGAACTCACACGAGAACTTCCAATAGGTCACTCATCATGGGATTGCTCTCGCATGATCTCGCTTAACTTCAGAGTTCTGATGGAACCCGAAACCCGTGAACTCTCAAAAAGCCTTTGTGCTATAGGGAGGGGAGCATGTACATATAAGGTATAGAGGATTCTCTCCCCTGGGCGATGTGGGATCTAACAACATAAGTCAAAACTCATACCTAAATTGCTTTTACAGAAATGAACAACAATTTACATTTGCTGGTGGAATTCCAGAATGTCAAATCTATGGGAAAAGATATCACCTTACTCTCAGCTGGTTTAATATGAGCAATTGTGCATTTCAAAGTGCTCAACTATCTCCATTACTCACTGCCATGGGTGTTGATTCTTCAGCTGATTTCAATTCTAATAAAGCTCGGATAATGGATACTGGTGCAATTCACCATATGATTGGAGATATGGCTATTTGAACATGCTCACACCTTTTGAGGGAGATTAAAAAAAAACTTATGGTATTGAAGAACCATGCAAATAGAAGATCATGAGTTGAACACTCAAATGAGCAACCAACATTTAGAAACTAAAAAATATCACTCATCCATGTGAGAGAATTGATACTTGGTTCAATAGTATTATTGTTTTCATTTTTCATTTAGTTGTTGTATTATTATTTTCATTTTTCATTTTTCAGATTTCCTACATAATTTAATTAGATAAATTCGAATTATGAAAGAGAGGGTCCCTATTATTTTGGTCTAGTAGTTTTTTTTTTTTTTTTTTAAGGGGGACAATTAGTGGCAAATCACGGTTATCCACCCCTTCTGGGGGCTAGGAATACTCACAGAGGCATTTCAGCCTCCCATGGGCACATGTTTGGCTTCCACATCAACAACGGGTTTCAAACCAAAGACCTCCAGTTTTTAATACAAGCAATCTGTTTCTCCTAAGGCTTAGGAATTAATATTATAATATAATTTTGATTATAGTCTTGATTTTTAGAGATCCTTACGCTAAAGACGAATTTGAACCACATTATTGCTAACTTATTGTGAAGCTAGGCCCATTCCCTCCCCTTATTGTAAATAATATCATTTGTTCAAAACAAAAAAGTCTACATGTTTGTATAAATAGGTCTTTGTACTATTCTCTCTAGCTTTTTTTCTCTCTCTCTAGAATTTTCTCTTGCCCAGGAAAACCCCCAATCCCTTTTCGCCGTCGACTATTTCCTTCGGTTGGGGTTTTCAGGCAACCCTTGCATCTCCTCACCTTTTCCTTTTCCTTCCAACCAACTACCCCATCCCTCACTCCCTCCTCCATCCCTCCCTTCTTCTAAGCCCTTTTCTTCCCCCCCCCCTCCCTCTCCCCACCCCCTCACTAAGGCCTCCCTTCTTCAATCTTTCTTGTTTTCCTTCCCTTTCTCTTACTTGTTTTCAGTTTTCCTCCTAAATTTCTAATTTCCTTGAGCTTGTCTCAATCTCCCTGAGTTTAGATTTGTGCTTTTATGCTCTTTTCTTCCTCCGTTGCTTCTCTCCGTCATCAGTTTTCCATCGCTGACCTTTACCACTCGACCTATCACATTTCTCCCATCGGCGGCACACTTTGGTGTTGGGTGGTCGTTAAAGTGCTGTTTTTAGCACTATTTGGTAGGATTATGGGAGCGCTTTTGCGCGAGTGGCTTGCTCACCCCCATTTTCCTTTCATCCATCTTGTTCGTGGGTTCTTTCTCTTGGTGTTGGTGGCGGATTGGCAATGGCGACTCAGCTGCTGTGGTGGAGTCAGCAGTCTTCCTGATCTAGGATTTTTGTTGTTGTGGGCTTGCTTTTTTGGGCTTTTTTGTTGTATTTTCATTTCGACTATACTTGTTTGGGACTGCCTTTGGGCTTTCTAATTCATGTAATAGTTTTTTTATTTAATGAAAGTTTCTAGTTTGACCAAAAAAAAAAAGATATTTGTACTATGAACATAATTATTTCAAACCCTATTATGCCACACCCTCTCCCCTCTCTGACCTAATTATTTTTTGCCTTCTCCTTCTACTATGGTAGCAGCTTCTTCGTCTTCTGCTCCCTCTCTTCCTTCCGGATCTAACGTGGCTCACTTTTTCAAGCGTACGAAGAGCAATTTTCTCAACTAGACATGTCAGATGCATCCCTTCTTGATTGTTCATGATCTTTTCCCTCATGTTGATGGCTCCTCCTCCTCTGCACCTGACCTGAGCTTCCTATTGTTGCTCCTGCCAAGCATTAATTAAAAACTATTAAAAAACCTTACTACAATGGTAGCTATATAATTTAATCTCACATTAAATTTTTACCGTTGGATTCTTTGATCTCACTTAAGTTTTTCATATGATAATTTGTTATTTTAAAATATATTTTTTTAACGAGTATCAGGTAAGGTCATCTTACCCATTAATATTAACGGATCGAGTTTGGGTCGGGTGATATTACTCATTCATTTTAATGAGTGGTATACGACAAGCTCATTAAGATATT